GCAACGCGAAAATCACGAAACTAAAAAATTTCGCGTACAAATTCGCACAATATTCATTAAAAATGATCGCGTTTTATTCTTCTAATAAAAGCGAGAGATAATATAACAATACATAAAGCACGTTATGGGTCTCGTCGCGCGCGAATAACAACAAAAACGTCACAAAAATTCCAATGCCTCTGTTGCGCTTGTGTTTACGTACGATGGCCTTCTTATAATTCGCACTGCGATACCCAAACACGTAGGAATCCGCCCCGTGTGTTATCTCTCGTGGCAAGTATTGAAAAATATCGTACGCGATCATCCCTTACGAATATTATGCGAATGTGTTCGCGCGAGTTTTCGCAAGAGCCGACTATTTCGTGCTCAAGTGTGGTTTTCGCGTTATTTCGCCGTGATATAAACTAAAGTGAACATCTCGTGCGACTAATGTAGTACTGTGTAAAGTGCCGCATCGTCATATCCAAGTCTTTAGTACGCCTGCTATGGTAATTAGCCGTGTTTTCGCGAGTGAGTGCCCCAGAGGAGCAGCAAAGAACGGGTAAGAGAGAAAAAGGAAGAGAAGATGCAACGGCGGAACAACAAAAAAATGTTAGTGATTTATAATTTTATTTATTTTTTATATTAAATTATTTTTATCGCGCGGATTATCCTAAATCTTAATTTAGGATAATCCGCGCGATAGCGCGGGTTCGAGAGATTCGTTTTCGAGACGGAGAATAATCATAAGAAATATATGCTTTCGTTGTCCGATTTTCGATTAGTGATCGGTGGTAGATATAATTTAGAAGAAATTTTTCCTTTCTTTCTTTTTTTTTTTTTGCGTTTCGATACATAATTTATACCGACTGCGCGATTGGAGTTCCAAAGAAATTCAAAAGAATCGCGCACAGCTTCGTGACTGGAAACGACAAAAGTAGATTTTCACAGAGCAGAGGAACGGTGAGAGAGAGAGAGAGAGAAACAAAAAGTTTCGAGACTTTGTCATTTTTATCGGCAGTCCCAATATCCACGTCTCGTGATTGCCTCGCGAAACTTTTCTGATCTGTCTTCCGGCCGAGGATCTCCTCCATTTCGCTCGCGGGGCTTACCGCACGTAAATCACATGCTGCGTTCTAAGCGCTTCTTATACAGAATGCGTTAAAATTGATGATCTCAACTTTGAACACGTGTGTACAATATAGCAGTCGTCGAGATAAATAAAAAAATTAGCAGGACAAAATTATCAGACAAAATATTTTGTTACTGATCGTATATATGAATTCATGAAATCTTTATCGATAAAAATAATGTGAGATAGCAAATTTCTAGATCTAATTAATCGCATAGCAGGAATTTATAATTGTTGATGTGTAGATTCCCGTTTAATAAAATCTTTTTACTTTTGATAAATATTATACGTATTCAAAGTTAGAACTATCAATTTTTTAATGCACTCTGTGTAAATTTTACACGGGATGAGTATCTCTCGAATTTGTTGACCTTTTAGGATAGTTGAAAACGTTAAACCCTGCGCTTGTATATATCATACGTACCCCATATTGGCTTTTACAATAAGATGAATATTACCATTTTTATTCCTATATTGATTTCTGTTATATATGTATATATACCTACCTCTGAAAGCTTCTTAAAATTTCTTAATTTTCTTCTTCATCCCACGAATATATTAATAATAAGATATTCACTTCTTGAAACTGTTGAATCTGTGTTTAAAATTTAATTTAAAAATTAACTTATATATAT